GAGAGAGAGAGAGAGAGAGAGAGAGAGAGAGAGGGCTGCAGCGGGAGCAGCTGGAACGAGTTGCAGCGGGGGGCCAGTGGGCTGGGCAGTAGTGGGTGGCAAGCTTGGGTGCGCGTGCACACGAGAGAGAGAGAGAGAGCTATGGCCGGAAGAACTCACCGACTTCCTGCGCTTTGTTTTGGGAGGAAGATCGGAACCTCCACTACCGGACTTCAGGACGAAAAGTGGTAGTTGCGACACCAGTTATGGCCGGCACTGTACCGGCCCCGTTCCCACAGCACTTATGGCCGGAATGGTACTGGTCTACATGGCCTGACTGACGCGCTAATGAAAAACTGCCCGTTTGTCTGAAACAGCGACCGGAGTTTCAACTGACAGTAGAACTCGGGTCGAAGTGAGAAAGTGCTGTTCGCCCTTCGGGACATCCGGTAAAATTGGAACTATGGGAAGGCTTCGCAGCCGGTCCGCTAGCGCGTCCGCTATCACACGCCGGCACTTCGCGTTAGCTATCGATTCGTCTGCCTTGCCGGCGGAGATGTCAGGCGAGCAGTGTAGAACCGACAGCTAACCCAAAGGTCGGTGTCGGGTCACGGTCGTATGGCGTGATTGGTATGGCGAAGTGGGCATTGACGGAAGATCTCATCGGTGGTTTGGTTGCCGTCGCCCTGCTGACTTGGGCTCGTTGAATTTCTCTGGCCAGGTGTCCCACCCTGCCCTTGGGTGGGTGGGGGATCGCCCTGCGATCAGGGGCACGTGGCGTCGGCAGCTCCCTTCTCTCGTTATAAGCCCGAAGACCTTGATTGCCTGTTTAAGCCCGAAGGATCAGAGGAGCTGTCTCCCCCGATAGGGCGTTTTCGTGGAGCTCCTCTTTACTTACCTTCATGTTTCTCCTTGGGAGGGAAGCAAGGAGTTATCACCACCAGGGAGCTCAGCGTTCAGCGCAACGGCACTGCTTGGTGAGGTAACAGTGGGTTTTATCCTTCCCCCTGGGGTGTGGTGATGAAGTTGTAGTCTGGTTCGTGGTGAATTCTGGCTGCATCTAAAGGGGGTGAGAGTCGCCTGCTGATTACGGTAAGGGAGAAGGTTTAATAATAGTTCCGAGGGTTTCCATTGAGGAAAAGGACTATCTTCGTGGGGTTGAGTGGAATCTTGGTTGTTCGGTAGGCGCCATTCTGTGCATGGGGGGCGTACCTCATCGGTGGTCTTGACGCGGTAACCTATGTATGTTTGGCCCTAAAGCTCTTATAAACACAAGGTCCTTCTATTCTTATGACTTTGTCCGCAACCCCTCCGTTCTAGAATTCGGCAATTTCAATGGTTCAGTTATGAGTTGAATTCGTCCTGGGGTTGAAAGTTCTTCTACTCCGGGAGGGCGTGGAAGGCGTTTGGTAATAGGAGTGCAATTTGTATTCGGTTTGGCTTCTGGTGGGCGGTTTGTGGGGAACGTTTGGTTTAGATGTCATAGCCGGCAGGAGACAAGTGAATTCGGGGTATTCCGGTCATGCATGCCGGAGGCTTCGAATTGTGGATGGGCCTTACTTTGGGGCTGCCCGTTGGATTTCGTTGTTTTGATCTATTTGAATTGCGAGCGGACTTCTGTTGTTGGCTGGTAATTATTTACTGACGGAGGTGTGCTGTGTTAGGTGCTGGGTCCTTTCGGGGGGAGATCTTATCCTTTTTGGGGTTTCATCCGGGTATTGAATGTTACTCTTACACAATGGCTGAGGGAGTCTCGGGTCCGAATGAGGTAAGCACGGAGCCAGACGCTTCTCGAATTGCTCAAGTTATGGAAGAATGCTACCGAACCGGGGTTTTGCCATCCGGTTTGATTGGTAACAATCCCGGCTCGGTAGAACGCTCAGATGACTGTGTCCGAGTGAGCGTCGATCCGGCAGTCTTCCAAGCACAGAAGGATTGGCTCTCCAAACATGCTGTCACCATCTTCTTTGGTGATAAGAGTTCTTCCCTCCCTATCAATCTGAAGAAACGTATTGTGGGAATTTATGAGAATAAGTGGATAGGGATGCCGATGCTTGGATCTGATCCTAAACGGGGTTTATTTCATAACGAAGGATATAACTTAATTACGTATATCCCCAGTACCGATGTCGTGGCGGCATGGCTGCATCAGAAAAGGTCGGACGAAATTGTCCTGGATGGAGTACTCCTCCACTTCAGACCGTGGATGTCGGAAGTAGAACTTCAGGAATGGAGGGAGACTTTGCGTTACAAATGCTTTTGGACTCGTATCCTTCAAGTCCCTATAGGAGCCTTGCCGTTAGTCCAGGATGCAGTTAACCTGGCGTTCGGCCGAATCCTTAAAGTTGGCCCCACGTTGGTCAGGCCAGAGGAACCCGAACTGCTAAATATTCGTTTTGATCTTGAACCTGCTGCTGAAGAGTTCTATACTCCTTACCTGGCTATAGACTTACCTGGCAAGGGTGGGAGTATGGAATTGGAAGTTGTCAATCAATATACGGATTGGTGCTCTCGCTGTCGGCGGTACTACCACACTGAAGATGACCCGGACTGCCCCTTAA